GAGGGAGGGAGGGGAGGGAGGGAGGGAGGGAAGGAAGGAAAGAAGGAAGGAAAGAAGGAAGGAAGGAAGGAAGGAAGGAAGGTTGGTTTTTTTCATCATAGCAAATAAGAAACTAAGTGGTAAATGAAAATACATAAAATACTAAATGAAGAATATTTTATTCCTACAGTTATTCTACTTCTATTCAATGATGTGTTTATTTATACAGAACCAAAATTACTTAAAATATAATAATTAACAAACCTTACCTGAATAGAATACATTATAATTTTAAAGCAGTGAACTGCAAATTCATTAGGATCCCACAGTTTGTGATGATCTAAATGCCTGTAATTAACAATTAAAAATTATTTTAAGAATTCCCTATTTTTATTATACTTTCTTCCTATAAAACATTCAACAATACGAAAGTTATCTAAAAAAAAGACCAAAGTTTTCACTTCCAGAAAATGTACGTATTTTTCTCAACTATCAACCCTTGTCACAAAACAACAACAAAATACCTGACTGAATAAAAAACTATAAATACCTAGAGAGGGCAAGAAAGAAAAGTCCTCTCAGTCCACATGCCACAACAAAAAAAACATCTGGACAGGTGAGTATACATGGAAGCCAGCAGGGTTCTGAGAATACAGTCTGAACCCCACTCCCCAGAGCTGGCAGTTGCAAAGGTTCTGAACATAGGAAGTCTAGAGACAAAGCTCAGGGTCCACCCAAGAAAGGCAGGCTCCCAGATCAGAGATCCCTACAGCAATTAAGAGACACCACCCTCAGAGAATCAAGGGAAACTTTCTGTAGTAAGAGACTGAGGTCTTTGCTCTGAGGGCACCATGACAAACAAAAGCCCTTCCACAGGTTTCAGCCTCACACCCAGCCCTCAGGAATCAGGCAATTAATACACACTGTATTTTTCCTAGACATTTAGTAAGAAGTAAGTAGAAGGAAATGGAAAGGAGAAAAGTTTCTAATTAAATTTGTTTCTCTGTATAAAAGAGTCATCTCACAAGTCCAGTGATTCTCAAAACATGTTCCTCAAACAATGTGACTCAAAATCACCTGGAGATTGGATTAGAATCAACAAGGCAAAAAACAACAGATTTCCAGGCTACTGCAGCTCATTCACCAAGATCCAGAGGTTTGGGGGCCTAAAATCGTATATAATAAGCATTCTAGGGATTCTTAAGCACACTACATTTTGAGAACCACTGTCCTAGGTTCATATAAACAATTTTTTATGAAATCTTTCCAAAGTAGAGAGTTCCCTGATAGAGGGGTCACTCATGTGCAAGGATGAAAAAGCAGAGCTACAGCCAAACTAAGCTGGCTGAGAGGTCTGAAAGTCAAAACAAAGGAACAAATTCAATTTAAACAATTCTAAAATGAAAACTGACCACATAATACTCAGTTTGAGCAAATAATAATAATAATAATAATAATTTTATTATTTGTATGCTATTGCGTACAGTCCTTGAGTCTTCTTACAAGAAATGTATTGTGGTAACCTACTAACATACTTACCCTGGTTCAAACTTGTCCTATATTGTGGGGAGTCACCAGTGAATTAGTTGAAGGTCTTCACTCAGTATGGAGCCATGGAAATTTAGGTTTTTCCTTGGGAACTATCCCGGCTCCCCCATGTGCATTAGACTGCCCAAGGCACATGGGGGAGCCGGGATAGTTCTCTCTACTAGGAAGACCCCTGTTGGGAACTGGACAGCCTACCTCCTACATTATTTGGCAAAGAACATTCCATGGAAAATCTTTGATGTTCCCCAATATAAATAAAGCAAGCACAGGCACCATCTTGCTTGCACCCTCTATTTTCAGTGTGGAAGCTCAATCCCTGAGATGGGCTAGCCCACCCTGGCCCTACTTTCTAAAAATATTTTCTGTGTTGTGATTTTTTTGCCTCTCAACCTTTTTTAGCTTTTATTTCGCAGCCAGCCCATTCCACCAAGAGGAACCCCATTTCCACTGCTTGTGTGGGATGTGGGCAGGACTATATAGATCTATATGATTAATATTTTCAGAGGGCAATTCTGTAAGACAATTTTGATCAAGGATCTCCATTCTTTATTAAGAGACTTAAATACAAATGTCAAGATCTCTTCAGCATAAACTTAACCTTCTTCTTTTTACCCTACATTAACCCCTGAACTGTACTCAAAACTCCCGCCAATGGTACCAGTATCTTGTGCTCACTGTTGCTTAGAAATGTGATCTTCAAAACTGCTACTGAATCACTTGTTTTATTACTAGATCAAGTAACAACTGAAAGAAAACCCACTACAATGTTAAAATGAAGAATTCTTTATTCAAGAGTAGTTTCTGATGTCTATTTCCACTATCTCAAAGTCACCACTACTAAATTCTCAAATAGACATTAATTCTTTGCTTTGAACTGCTAGATCGTTTACTGGGCCTTTTCTTATAATCCATACTATAATTATTGTAATGTCAATCATACATCAAGTTTATAACTCATTATATATTCCTAAAATAACCTGGAACCTTCCTTGCAGAGGGTATCTGGTATTTAATTAAATAGCTAACATTAATATTTAATTAACATTTTAATTAACTAACACATGATCAGGATTTAAGTTCAAGTTCTACATAGAATACAGCCCACTTCAAGTTACTCAATTCAATTAATTTGAATGGCTTTCTTCTAGGCTAGTTCCCTAAGACTTCATAAATTATCTCTCAATAAGAATAGTAAGATAAAAATGGAATTCTAATATTAAATCAGATATTGAACATAAAAAGTAAACCTGCCATTAGTATTTTAACAAAATTCTAATTATTTTTTCGTAAAGCATACAGAGCCTTTAAAGAGTAGATCTCAATTTTGGATGAAGAGGCAGGATAGGGGGAAAGATTACAGATCCCTTTTAAAATCTAATGACTCTTATTTCTGAATGTAATTTTGTGGTTTATAAATTCTTGTAACTAAAGTTTGACTTTGAACCTGAGGACAGAAACATCTGCTCTAAATATAGAATTTAGGATATTACATTCAGAATACTCGATATATTGCTAAATTATTACAGTCAGAAGGTAGGAAAGATACGGTGAATTTTAACAAAATAAAGAGTGGCAAAAAATGTCCAGAAACAAACTGAGTAATACAGAGTAGATCTATCATCTGATAACTGAATTAGAAATACAAGTATTAACAAAGCTTGAGAGATAATGTTTATGTGGAGAAACTTAAAGCTCATAAAGTTATTCTGCATAGAAGAAGGCATATGAATAGCAATGAGACACCTGATATTCTGGTTAATCTCTAGTTATAAGATGAAACTTAGAGAAATTACAATGATGATGGTAAACAGAAAAGTCAAGAAACAGAAACTAAAAAATAAGAGGAATTGACCTCATAAGTTAATAAAACAAGGTATATCAAGTTTGGACACTGTTTTAATATTTCACTGTTATTTATGCACTTCCAGGAATGTAAGCAGATAGTTAAATGATGCATATTATTATTATTATTACTACTAAGTAATATGTGCAACAATAATTAATTACTTAAATTAAATTTTATTATTATTACTAAGTACACACTTTATATTTAAAGGGTAAAAACTCGTTAAGTAACTGAATTAGCATGATGCATATGCATGAGATGTGACTGGATCCTATGCTACTTCTACAATGCTACACTGCTTCCAATAATATCTCACTCATACAAAATTAAGAAATTAATTTTGTAAGAAATTAGAGAGAATTAACATGGCAAAGTCACAAACAACCAGAAAAACAATTACTTACGCAAAAACTGGTCTAACAGCATTGTTCATATTCCCAAAAGTGGCTCGACCCAACAGCTCTCTGAAACAGTTCTCAGCCAGCATAGCAGGATTCTCTTCTTTGTCAGTTGCAGAAGGAGAAGAAGGAGGGCCTATGCGACTAAGAGAGAGAAATCAAGAAAAACTAATGTAAGAATTCTAATATTAGTTCTCATGGTTAGACAAAATAGACTTTACTTCTCAGAAATGTTAATATGGCATTTTCTTTTGTATCCCCAAATATCTTTAAGCTTAATTCTAAGGCCATGAATCTTACACCATAAAAACTAATTATATAATGTTTCAAAAAAGGAGAACTAAATTTAGCTGGGAGCCTGTTTCCAACACACTGTCCTTTACCTAATGTAAAGCACTGAGCAGTTCACTACTTGTTCGTGTTCATACAACTTCACGTTCATGTGAAATCTCAGTTAAGGACATGGTCAGGCTTCCCTTTAACTGCAAGTGAGCAGAAGAAATACAGTGCACTGAAAAACCATGACCAGCCTTTGTTTAGGAAAAAAAATGTAAAAAGCTAACTAGAACACCTAAAAAGGTAGAAGTCTTGGTGGGTAGCACTTGTTTGGTTCACATCTTGAAACATTATTTTAGGCAAATTATATGCAACAATAATTAAATAAAGAAAAAGTGTATCTGTGGCACTGGAATTACACCATGGGAGAATAAAATTTTTTAAAATTTAGCAAACAGTGGTCTCTGTTTCCTATATGTTACTTATGCCAGCCCTGAAAAATAAGAGCCATAATTATGGAAAATAGATTTCTAATTAGTTCATGACTTTTTAAAGTTTAAATATTTTGATAGAAAAATTTTGGCCTTAGTTATAGTGCCAAGAATAGGGAAAATATCAAAGGAGTTAAAGCATAACAAATTTTAGACATTAGAAAAGGATTCCAAATCTGGAGATAATCACACTTGAAAAATTAAGTATAAATCCTTTCTGTAATCAGCATAAATCTAAATGAGTACAGATAGAACTACTATCATAGTTATCAATTGTTAGATGATTTTGATACTGTGCACATAATCTTGAAAATTACAAATAAAAATTTTAGAACTACAGAGTTAAATCTCTTAAATTTGTTTCAGCTTTTCTTCTTCAAATGGCAAGAAGCAAGCAGGTCAGGGTAATAAGCCAAACTGGAGAATTCTGCTTTTGAAGCTTAGTCACACATCTTCTCTATGTAGGGCAACAGAAATGTGATGGTGATATGAACTGGCACTTGAAAAAGTGAAACGTAGTGTATCATTCCAGGTGCAATTGAATGGAGGGGTGGTGGCACATAGGGAGCACCATGGACAGAAAGTCGGCATACATCCAAAAATAAGCATAATGAGGTCACCAGAATAAATTTTTCTCCAGAAAGGAACGTATTTCTAAACTCACTTAACCTCATGAGATTACTACTTAGATAATACTAAAAGCATTCTTATAGCAGGGAACACACATAAATATACACAAAAGCAATACAGCCTCAATCCCAACACCTTTACTCATTACCTGTCAACTTCTTCTATCTTTTGCATGTTAAAAAGAAGAGATGGGACAATCTTATCCATATGCTGAGGTTCCCAAATTGTAGCCCGAAGTTCATCATTAACTGTTTTTCGAACCACACCCTGAATACCTCTTATTCCAGCAATTCGAATTCTATAAAGAAAGAAAAAATAACTATGAAAAAGTTAAAGAAACTTTTTTGTCTAGCCAAGAGAATGGATGTCAAGTAAATATGGCTATCTTCACAATAAAATACCTTAAAAATAACATACAGTTAAATCTAAGTGGTTAAAATCTCCAAAAATCTAAGTTAGAGAGTGACAGGTTCAAAAGAGCTTTACATTGAAAATCATCTTTTTAAAATTAGCATTTAAAGTTCAAAAGAACTTTCAAATATAGAAATATTTACTTTAAAAATAAAAATATTATTTTTTCACTAAAAAAAAATCAAAAGCACAGGTTTTCCTAAGATGGTGATGGTGATATTAACTAAAAACAACATGAAGTAGATTCTTTTTTTGTTTTTGGTCTGGAAGTTGCAAAGTTAGGTAGAAAAAGAATTTCACAGTTTCTTAACACCTGCCTGCTTCTTCAGATTCCATAGCCCCTAATTTTCTCAAGCTCTTCCTTGCTCTTCTTGGGGAGAAAAAAAGAACTAAAAAATAGCTTACAAAAGCTTCAGAGGAACAGTCTCAAGCCGAACCAACCTGGTGACCCATCAGTCTTAAATATATATTTCTTCTGAACAAATGCTTCCTTTTTTTGAACTGTAATTATTTACTTCCTTTTCTCCTACTACCTGAAAGACTTACAAATTAGAGGTTTATTCAGCTTACTTAATACTGTTTTTCAGAAACTATAAATCAGTTTAAAGAATGGAAGATTTGGGGAAGGGACATAATATTGCTTTACAAACCCACGGGGAAAGACTTCAGGCATTCAAGAGCAGCAAATAAGGAGAAGGGGAGATGGCAATGATATGCCACTGAATAGGTGAGAAGTGAAGTAGGAGACATATTCAAAAGTGAATTGAGAGACAAGGTGACAAATTCTGCCTATTTCAAAGATGTGTCTACATATGCTGCTTTCTAAAGTATGAAGAAGTTTTAAGAGACTCTTATGCATCTATCATAAGTGAGCAAGCCTAACATTACTACAAAACGTTTTTGCTTTACATACCTGCTGCTGCTCCACTGGTAACAAGAGGGTCAAGCCCAAGGTGGCATAGACCATATGAACAGGTAAGATGCCATGTGTCATGCCTCATACCTTAAATGGAATAGCAGCAAATGGCGGTCCCCTTACTGGGACTTAAGAATATGTGTGACACTAGTAACTACCAATAGCTACTACAGTGCATAAGTAGCATCCAGTCCAGATCTAATAGTTGGCCTGACTAGCACTTACTAGCCATGAGCTTCAAAGGTGTTTTACAGTTTCCCCATCAGTAAAATATAACATTTATGGTGTCTACAGCACAGGAAGGATGTACAGATTTAAATAAATTAATATACAGAGCTTAAACAATAATTGACCCTCAGTAAGCAGTCAACAACTGTTAGCTGCCCCTGCTACTGTTAGTCACCATGATGATGATGATGATGATTATAATGATGATGATTATTTCTGCTACAGTTGAAGTGCTTAAGAAATCAGCTAGAGCTGTGACACATGAGTTTACAAATGAGAACCATTTCTATATGGCTAATATTTTAAGAAAATATTAATAGTTAACAGCTCATCTCTTATTGCTTACATCTCTTTGGATTCTTTATGGTAGGCTTTGCTATAAATAAAGGGATAGGAGCTAAGAGTATAGTTCAGTGGTAGGGTGCTTGCTTAGCATGTGTGAGGCCCTTGGTTCCACTCCTAGTATGGGAAAGAAAAAGCACTGACAAAAAATATCTGAGTTAGCTGAGCAAGATGGCACTTTCCTGTAATCCCAGCAGCTCAAGAGGCTGAGGCACAGAGATCACAAATTCAAAGTCAGCCTTGGCAATTTATCGAGGCTGTAGGCAACTCAGTAAGACCTGTCTCAAAATAAAATATAAAAAGGGCTAGGGATGTGGTTCAGTGGTTAAGTGCCTCTGGGTTCAATCCCTGGTTTAAAAAAAGAAAAAAGTATCTAAGTTATATCCTGAAATGGAACATTTACAACCTAAATGAAAACTAAATAGGTTTTATTTAAGGCAAAGAAAGATAAACTTCAATTCCTCTTAAGTATCTTAAACCATTTTATTTTACTCATTTATTTCACAGTAGTTCAAATGAAATATTGGTATTCAAATTATTACATAGTATAGGAAAGACCTAGAATTAGGGAAAAGTACTGTAAGTCTTTCTTTGTGTATAGAAAATCTCAAGTCTCTTTTTGTTGGGACTGGGGGTATAGCTCAGGGTAAAGAACTCAACTAGCATGGGAACCGAGTCCTAGATTCAATCCGAAGCCCCACCAAAACCAGAATAGAAAATGTTTCTAGCTTTCAAGTTTTTTTGTGTGTTTTTTTGGTAAATAATAATGAAAAACATTTCATGAAAAAAAATTTTAAAGACATTTCACTAGGGGGCGATAAATACCTAAAAATAAGGAATCTACCTTTGATACATCAGAAAGAATTTTGACAGCTCTATTTGTAATATGTAATGGTTTGTTTAAAAAAAATATTTTTACCCGTCCTTTAGTAATAGAAAAAAAGATATTAGTAGTGACTGGGGTAAATAGGAAATTAATTATCATAAGGCAATTCTAGTATTTGTATCTCCAAAGTTTCACACTTCATAATAAAGCATTAAAAACAGGACTCTTCATGGCCCATGCTATCTTGAGGAAACAATACACTAACAGAGAAATGACTATTACCTCTCGGCTTTCTTTCTCCAAGTTAAAATAACTTTTACATTTATTTTCATTCAAGGAAATTAACACTGTAGCTTGCAGATTCCAACTAAAGGCTAGTTACATCTCTACACGTTCCCTTAGTTACTTTAAAATAAAACTAAAAATTACAAAACATGCTATATCTTGATTAGCAACTGCTGAAAATAACTCCCAGGCTTCAGGTCCATTTCTTTTTATTAGGTATATTACAATGGAGCATTAGCTCAAATTGCTTTCTATATTTACCAAGGTTATGTTGACTTTAAATCTTAACTTTAAAATTTCTCATTTTTATACAGATATCAACTGACCTGGGGAATGTAGCTCAATGGTACAGCACTTAACTAGCATGTGGTAAGGGTTCAACCAAAATGAAAAAATACACTCTACATAGATATCAACGTATAGACTGGGTTTGTAATTAAATGTTCACTTCCAAATACCTCTATAAATGCTATAAGTATTTTAAATAAAGTGTCACTTCAGTAGTCAACAATGTCAGAATGACAATAATTTAGTTTTACACAATCACTTCATTTAATATCTCTTTATTGATTCAAAAGGACTTATTTACAGCCTACTATGTGATATAGTAGTCCTCAAAAACAAAGCCCTTGTGTTCCTGAAATTTATACTCCATAGAGGTATAAGAATCAGAAGATACTTTAAGAATAATAACTAGGGTGGGGTGGAGGGTTGACAGTTAATAAAAGGTGGCTAGGAGAGAATTCTTGGGATAAGGTGATATCAGAGGAAACTCTGTACAAATCGAGGTAACTAGCCACACAGGTATCAGGGTAATTGGTCATGGCAAAAAAAAAAAAAAAAAAAAGTGTGTCTAGAGCCCTAAAGTATTCAAGAGATATCAAGTAGATCCATGTGTGAAATAGAGGGAAAGCAGGAGGGAACGACTGTATGACAGGATCAGATACAGGCAGGGAGAGCTGAAGGAACATTCTGGCTACACTAAAGACTGAATTTTAGTGACCAAATTAAAAAATTACTCTGATTTTGCATTTTCAGTCAGTTTTATCTTCTACCAGCAATGGAAAGCTGTTTCACGGACATTATTTCTTTAATAATCACTATGTAAAGTATAAACATAATACTTACCTATAGATTATTTTATGATTGATAGTAAGTAAAGTAATACATACTCTGTTCGTATTTCTGGATCACTATGACAAGAATGACACATGGCACTGAATCGAGACACAAAAAAGTCATAACGTCTGTGATAAGACGGTGTATCTTCTTCAATATTTGCAAATTTGACAAACTAAAAAACAAAAACAACAATACTTACAATATACTTTTTGAAAGTGTGGGACAAATACATTTACTTTTATTATCTTTTATATTAACAAGCAATAGCCAAATAAGAAGCAAATGAAATGTATTCAATATAAATATTTCATAGACACAAAAGGAATTTTTTGATAATGAACTTTCAGATAATCAAGGATAGTATTCTAGACATTAAATGCAGCTCCCTTTCAGTGAGCAAGCCCACTCTGTGAAAGAAACAATCTTGCTCTTAACTCTTCCATATTTCCTGCACTCTGATAATGTTTCTTTCAGTGAAGAGCGTAATTAGGCCACAATCTCTACAGAACATTATTGCTTAATTGTGGGTAGAAAATCTCCCTTGACAGAAAAACACATGAGTGAACAAACTTCATACAAAAATGGGACAAGAAAAGGAAAATTAACTGAAGAAAATTTGCCAGTCTCAGTAGAAAAAAAAATATGGAGATGGTAAAATTCATTCTACCTCCTTTATAATGGTGTGTATGTGAATCTCCCCATATGTTTAGGAAATTTTGAATATCCCACATGTGCACAGACCTAACTCCAACAATTCCTTAATATGCACCTTTTTCTCTTAGTTTTCTAATTCATTTATTACTTCAGTATACCAGACAGTCTAAACACAACAAACTGTTAGCTCATTTACATATCTAAATATACATAAATAAATACCTGCCAGGATATTGACTTCAAAAGACCAAATTATCACAATAATCAGAATTACTAACTTCTGTTGTAAACAAAACTGAAATAGATGGAATGAATTTGAATACATTAAGTATGATACTAAAAAGGTTTTAAAATAGTTGAGCTTGAGCTTTGATTTACCATTATCTAGAAAAGGGCCACAAAGGGCTGGGGTTGTGGCTCAGTGGTAGAGTGCTCGCCTAGCAGGCATGAGGCACTGGGTTCGATCCTCAGCACCACATAAAAACAAAATAATGTGTCCACCTAAAAACTAAAAAAATACATAAATAAATAAATATTTTTTAAAAAGGGCCACAAACACTATACCTGGTTCAGATTAAACTCATAAGCACCATCTGTTCTGTAGCAACCTCAACACAATAGGTGTTTTCTCATGAGCTTTTATTTAGTCATTCCAAGAACCCTGAAAGGGTATCATTATCCCCATTTTACAGAAAGGATATTGAAGACCAGAGACTTTGTCCAAAGCAACAGTTAGTGATTGTTGAAACTGCCATTATAGTACAGAGATTTATCTACAATTCTCAAGATGCCTATTTTACATACTACCACATGAAAACAGTTTTAGAAAATATTATACCAAATATTTATACTTTTTATTAAAATAAATGATGAATAATAAGGAAATACTCAAAAAATTTAAATAGAAACACAAAAAGGTCTATCTTATAAACTATGCTCCCCATTTTCTAATATCTATAAAAAGAAGTTAAATTATTAAAGGACAACTTCTGAATTTTGGAATTATAAGTGACTATGACTTTAGTTTACTCATTTTTTAGCATTATCCAAATTTACTACAATAAACATTTTGTTTCTAAAATTAGAAAAAATAAAATAAAAATCTCCATTAAAATTTTCAATGTCCTTGGGAATTCTTTGAAGAAAAAACTTAATTCTATTTTCACTTAATCAAAGTCACAAGTAATCATATAAGCTAAGTGATCATTTACAGAAGCAGCTCCAATTGCCCTTGAACATAAAAAGGTGGCTCTGTCCTCCAGGGGAATTGCACAAAGCACATCTTCCCAGTTTTGTGGAGACAGTCATCTAATTCCCCTTATTCTGGGAACTAGCAAATTTTAAACCCATAAAGTTTATTCTAAAATATTTCAATAAAAAGTATTATCACTGCAGACTTATCACATGCAAGAACAGAGAAAATGAGGCACAGTACTGCAGCAGATCAGGTACCCCCTCCCAAAAGAACCTGGCCATAATTAAACTTCTCCTCTCATCAGGAAGATTTTTACAAAGAGTATCAGCAGGATGTCTGCAGAGAGAATTGTAGTTTGAATTTTCCTCTTGCTTGTAAATGCCAGGTTTTACAGGCAAAAGGTGTGACAGAGTTAAGAATCTACAGTCAAGCTTGTTTTGCAAAAAGATATTATCTCTTGCACTTTCTGGGAACTCAAAGAAAAATAATCATTTTTATATAAACCTCCAAGCCCTTCCTCCCACTGGGTATAAAGTTCAAAGAATATCCAAGCTCCGCCTTCAGAGAATTTTAGGTGATAGCCCTTTCAGGATCTCCTACAGTCCATAAACCTGCTTCCTGAAAATTCCTTGGATGTCCAGCCTCTTCTGTCCTACTTCAGTACCATGCAGAGATTATGAACAGGCTCTGTTAGATGGATCTGGATTTGGGCACCACACTTAATAACTGGATGTGTTACCTGTGAACCAACTTAAATGGTTGGTGAGAAATAACAGGTAGCACCATGCCTTGCACAATGCATGTATGCAATAAAACATATGTCCTATTTTTTTATCCACTTAAAAATTTAAGTGGGGAATTAAATATATTTCAAAAGACACGGAAAGGCAGCAGCAATGCAGTTTCTCACCCTAAGTACTATTAAAATTCTGGGCCCAATAAACCCTTTGCTATAGGAACTATCCTGGGCACCACTGGATGTTCAGCAGCATCCCTCACTTCCTAAATAGCACCAGCATTCCAACCTATACTATATAAATTAAAAATGTTGGGGCTGGGGATGTGGCTCAAGCAGTAGCGCACTCGCCTGGCATGCGTGCGGCCCGGGTTCGATCCTCAGCACCACATACAAAGATGTTGTGTCCGCCAAAAACCAAAAAATAAATAAATATTTAAAAATTCTCTCTCTCTCTCTCTCAAAAAAAAAAAAAAAAAAAAGTTTTCAGTAGTTGACAAATATCCAGGGAGGGAAGAGAGAGAAGAGAACTGTCCTGGATGAGAACCACTGCTTTGGTGTAGTGAGTGGTTTCAATGACTGGTCTCTGTGGATAACTGTCAACATTTATACAAAATGGTCAAGATTAGCAATGAGGCTTAAAAATAAATGAGATGTGTCAAACAAATACAAGAGGAGGAAAGAAAGAAAAGTAATCTATGATTTCCTTAAGTCTTAATCCACAAAAATGACTGAATAATTATACCATAAAGAAGAAAAGCTTTGTAAGAATGCCTAGGATTGGACTGCCATATTAAATACGGCACTACTTTCCTGGGTCTGTGGAATTACTTAGCTGCAACTTCTTATATATAAAATACGAATATTTTTAAGCTTCAGGGGTTTTATAAAAATTAATGACACAATATATGTAAGTACCTAGAGCACACACTATTTTATTTTTCCAAAAAGCTTAAGTCAAAGTTGCATAGTATCAACATTTATAATCATTGTATACTATTATTTTAAAACAAAAATTGTTTCTTTACAATGTTGGAAAACAGACATGTTTCAGATTTCAGAGTTTTTCTCATTTTGGAATATATGCATAGACTTTCAGCACCAGCTGAGCATCATTAATCTGAAAATCTAGTTACAGTGCTCAAAAAGTTGGATTTTGGAGCATTTGCCATTTCAGATCAGGGATTTTCAACTTATTATATACAGTGGTACTAACATTACTTAACATTTTCTTTCCTGAATTGTACAGGTATACTGTGTTCTTTCCTATATTTGTAAAAGTTTATAATAAAAAAAATGAGTAAAAATAAGAAGTACCCAACATAGGAGATCCTAAATTAATAATATCTTTGTTGGGCCTTGGCCTGTGAGCTGGAAAGCAGCCTATGTTGTTTATGTGAGGGGCTCTTAGGGCTTGGCACACTGAGTCTGGGATATTTGTAGTTTGGAACACTGACCATTACTAACCCCATCACCATGGTAACCTGGCTACCCACAGGTTCATAGCATATTCCATTCCTTTTGCTTTTTTGCTTCTGACCTACTGGCCCATCGGTTGCCATTCGTAAGGGTGTTGCTAGTTCACTGGTTATTACAGCCCTCAGCTGAATTTTCCCAGTAACAGACTATACATAAAAGGCTTGCCTATGCAATAATAAAGTGGATTGAGTTCTCTGAAACTGGTTTCAGAAGGTCTCTTTTTGACTCTCGCTACTCCCTCCTCAGATGTTTGGTGGGCTTCAGCTGGACCAAGAGAGCCCACAGATACCTATTACTGTCTTACTAAATTGGCATCAGCACCAAAAGGTAAATGTCAACAATAAAATGTACAAATATAATATAAAAATATCAAAAACTAAATTAAAAATATTAACTGATAAAATATGGCACTCAGCACTACTACAAAGTGAAAATTAGACTTTCAGGGAGTATTAGATAAATAATGTTGGTCAAGAAAATATTATGTTTGATTTAATACAATTCACTTAAAAGTAGGTAACCTGGGATTTTGTCTTTTGTCCAAATAACTCATTAAAATAGTTCTAATAGCTCTGCTGGCTGCAAGTAAAGAAACTTCTGGGAATGCATGCTAAATCCTTTCCCCAGCTATTACACCATTTCCCCTAAACTTTCCCATCCTAATTATGAAGGAAACAGATGGAGACTTCAGTAGCTCTCTTGCCTAAAACTAAGCCAATCACATAACTAACTGCATCTGGAAATATGCAATACCATACTAAGGGTTTCTGAATAAGAATTTCATTTGTATACTTCTACTTTTATAACCATCTATTCTTAACAGTAATAATAATTATCAATGCTAGCCACTGTTCTAAGAACTTCATATATATTAACTCAGACCACACAATCATCTCATAAAATTGGAATTATTATTATTATCCTTATATTACAGATGAAAATCTAAGGCAATAGAGGTTAAATAACTTTCCAAAGATAAATGGCTAGAGTTTTACAGCCATAATTCAAACCAAGGCAAGTGGATTCTGGAATCCATGCTGGCAGTCATCACTTACACTTCCTCTTCCTGTGTCAGAAAATAATTATGCATAAACAATAGCAGGTGACATATCATTTGACTAGCTGTTGATAAAAAAATGCATAAGAACATACTATATAACACATACATATTGTATATCATACAGTCCTCAGAAGAACAGAAGGTTATACAATGAGACTGAAGACAAGATATATAAGGTATCTCAGGTATGTAAGATAAAGACAATAAACGGTTAATCACTGTATTTTATTTTCCTTTTCCTTTCCAACAAACTATGTATGATTCAGGACAGAAAAAAAATGAACATGGCAAGAAGAACTAGTTCTAAAGCAGTCTAAGAAGGAATGAAGATAAAAACCCTGACTTTCATGGAAAAATGATGGAGAAAGAACAGAAAGAATAGCAATGGGACAGCTGAATAGCCATAGGCCAAATGTGGATGAAAATGAACCCCTAACTCATATCACATAAAAACAGCAACTCAAAATAGATGGCAGACCTAAACTATAAAACTCTTACAAGAAACCAGAGAAGTAAAACTTTGTGATCTTGGATTAGGCAATGGTTTCTTGAATGTGAGACTAAGGACACAAAAGAAGTGATAAAAGAAAATTAGATAAATTAGACTTTATTAATTAAATACTTTAGTGAATAAAAGCACACGAACAAGAAAAATAGAAAGATGAATCAGAGAATTTGAGAAAATATTTGTAAATCATATACCTGATAAAGGACTTGTATTAAGAATATTTAAAGAACTTTTATAATTTAATAATAAAAAGGCACTCCAATTAAAAAGTAAACAAATGATTTAAACAGACATTTGTTCAAAGAATACAAAGCCAATGAGTACATGAAAAAAAAATATTTAACATCATTAGTCATTAAGGAAATGAAAATCAAAACTACAAATATACCCCTTCAGACCCTCTAGGATAGTTATAATCAAATTGACAAACAATAACAGGTACTGGTAAGGATGTGAAGAATTTGGAACACTCATATGTTGCTGATAGTAATATAAAATGATTCAGCTCTTTGGAAAACAAACAGCTAACCTTAAAACCTAGCAATTATACAGCTAAATATAAACCCCAAAAAATGAAAAAGCTATGTCCACAAACTTGTATACAAATGTTCATAACAACCAAAAAAGTCCAAACAATCCTAAACTAATGAATGGGTATATAAAAGTATAGTATATCTATAAATTGGACTGTGATGTCATAAATAGGAATGGAGTGCTGATGTATGCCAATACCCAGATGACCCTTCAAAACACTATGCTAAGTAAAAGAAGAAAAAAAATTCCATTTATTTGAAATATTGCAAGTTGGAAAATCCACAGAGAGTAAAGTAGATTAGTGGTTTCCAGGGGTTGGGAAAGGAGGGCATGAAGAAGTGGGGGTGGTGAATGTACAACTCTCTAAACGTAAAAAGACACTCAAAGGATACTTCGTAAGGGTGAACACTATAAAGCTGCTATTTTGACAAAGCTTGAAGAACAAGACACAAAGTTACTTCTATAACAGATAACTCAGGGAAGGTAAAATGACAGTTATCAATTCATTTATGGTCAGGTATTTCCTCATGAATGGTGGGTATCACAGATTTTACCAAGAGTGATAGAAAACACTAGAGACAAAGTGTTCTAATCTTATCTTCATCTACACTAGCTATCCAAATGCCCTGACCAAGGAGTTGGCCTTTCTCAGGCAAACACTCTTTAAAAAGATATAAATTTGCGATATGCTAACTGAACTTAAAAATTCACAAGAGAATAGTTTTACTCACAGAATTTGTTCCAAGAACTTGAAGCTTTGGTTCCCCTGATTCCAGCAGCTTTGCCACCATATGAAGAAAGCTTTCTACGAAGGGCTTGATGCTTTGAGAATGGCAGGCCATAAGAAGTTGGTCCAGGGCCTCCATAGCAATTAGCACATACCTAAATGCAAAGAAAAACAAAGTCAAAATGTTTCTATCTCTCTTAATTCTCCTAAAGGCTCTTCTCATTGAAATTATTCAAATATATTTATTTAAAACAACACAGAAAGACAAATTCAGCAGCTTCTAAGTGAAATGTTAATTATCACACAACACTTATGATCTTAGTAGATTATAAAATAATCCTAGTGTTGAAGAATACAAAAACTATTTGGTACTACTCCCATCTTCTCCTCCTCCTAAAATAGCTCTTTCAGAGTAAATCTCTCATATTACCTTTGTGTAATTTTTCTTTGTAAACATGGACATTTTCCAGACTTTTAACTGTATTTATTTGTATATGACCCAAAAATAGTAAAGCAATGTGCCTAAATTTCCAGTATGACATACCTATATTTATGAGTATATAAAACAATACTGGAAACAAAAGAATAATATAAGGAAATGTCTCATAAATTTTATTTTACAATTCCACAGATTTTAAATCTTGCAAGTGCCCTAAATTTAGTTTTCAGACAACTTTCCTCTAATAATCAACTATGAGACTACCTGTGCCATGACCACTGTTGTATATGCTATTAATGTGCAAGTCAGAAAGTCAACATACAGCTGGAAGACAGAATATTCTTAAGAAACTAAGATCATAAAATGACAATATTGAAAAGCATTCATATTTCAAAATTGCAAAGTTACTACTGTTCAAGCATACAGAACGGGTTAAAATGCTAGACCTTAATTTGTAGGCAGCAATATATCCATACCAGTTCCAAATCAGCATGCTTATTACATTTTCTTAATCTTGGTATCTAAGCCTAACATGATACTCGTTTACCCCTCTGAAAGGTAAAACTGAAGCTGTACCCAAACCAGTTGTTAACAGGATCTGTTGTTTTCAAGTTAGAGACAGATTTTCAGACACACACTACAGACCAAGTAAGTAGATTTCTACTATTTGGTATTTTCAAAAATTAATAGATGCTGAAGCTAATGCCAACTCTGTTAAATAACCTGACCATGTTCCTAAGACCTGACCACCAGAAAATATAAGCTAGAGTATCTACATGGGTTTTATATATTCCCTTTATAATAATACGGTTTTATGTTACAAATATGATCTTTGTCTGATCAGATGGCACAATAATTTATAGAATAATTTATCCAAGGAAGAATTTTCCAAAGATACTATATTAGTTTCCTTACCCAGAACGATGTCTGACAACATCCCTGCTCAGCCTTTCTGCCAGGTAAGAACCTATTCGATCCAGCTTCTCAGGAGCAGATACTGCATAAAAGGTCAATTTTTCCATATCTGCTTTAACAAGGCCATCCTAAAAATAATGACAAGTATCCAGATTATTTATCTTTTCATGCTTATTTTTTGTTTGTTTCTTGTATTTTTAAGTGTTGCCTGTTTCACATTTTTCCTTTCTGGACTGGGAATTAATTCAATTTAAGCTGAACCTTTCCAGGTGTAATATTCTCAGTTCTAATAATATTTACTATTCTAGATACATGCAACTTTCAAAAAAATAAAGAAAAAAAGCTAAAGAAACACCCCACTTAGGCAAAGAATTTAAATAGCCCTTCCAAAACAATGAATTAGACTCTTAACACTTTCCTTTAAAGAGCAATCAACTCAGTATATAGGGAATGAAATGTATTTTATTAAAAAGATTTCAAATAAAACTTGCTTAATTTAATGTTAAATTATTAAGCCTATACTCTTTTACACATACAACAGTGACCATATGCTTTCATTTAATGAGTCAGAACCTACTTATATCATTATAAAGTTTTGTTGTAATTAATAAGAAAAAATATTTGGAACTATATTAATCTATGCTTAGTTGATGTATTAAAAAAAAACTAACATCAACAGCCACAGGATCCTTACACAAGATTATAAAATATCGTTCCTTTCCATCCTCTAAAGATGACATGCAGTAGATCTAATGATTCTCCCCCACTCTCATACAACCTCGAGTAAATCACCATACCCAAATTTCTTGGCCAGAAATCATCATTCAACTAACTGACTGCTACTTAGGAAAATTGGAGGAGAAAAAGGATACAAGAAGATTATGCTAGATGATGAATCTACAATACGAATTTTATAAAAGTGTTTTTTCAACTTCAATTGGCACCTCTCTGGGAATTTTGCTCCTTCCCTAATGGCACCACTCTCTCCTAGTGTGCACTTGCTCTACTCTGCAATAGAATCAGAGAGTTTGCAGCTCTTGTGTATGTTTTCTTTCCCTTGGCCACTTCAACCTAGGGACCCTTCTCTAGTTCACTGAGAGTTCAACCTTCAGGTCTCAACTTCCTCTAAAGACCCTTCAAGGGGTCAGATATTCCTACTATACGTTCTTGTTCTTTTAGTTCAAAGCACTAAGAGAACACACAGCAGTACAATCATACTTCTTTTCACTCATTAAACAAATACTAATTTAGTGCCAACTATGTGCCAGGCACTGAGATAGACACTAGAGAAACCACAGTCAGCAAAGAAAGGTATTAATTCACTTAGTCTTTAAGAGATCTTTATGATAGGTACTATTTATTATTTTCATTACACATGAGAAACTTGCCCAATATCAAATGGCTAGTAATTATGGGAAATCGCTTCTTGTCCCTGCTAAGTGCCGTGTGTGTGAAATTCATAAAAATCTTTCCTCTTCTTTAACCTACTTTACAGATTGTTATTTGAATACTTGGCAAAATAAAGATTCTTTCTGTAACCACCTTCTAGTTTACTGGTCATCACTCCAAATGTTCAAAACGTCTACATGTCTACAAGTTAAAGTGGGTAAAGCAGACAAGCCTTGTCTGCCCTTCATATTCCGCCATACTCTGTTCTCTACCCTGCCTTCAGTAACTGCAGGTCCTGGACTTCTCAAGGAAATAATGATTTGAATATTCAATCTATTAACTAATACATGTTAAATTTCAAATCGGAAACCACGGTCAACACTATTTCTATAATTAAGATACGGGAACATTCATTTTAAGTCTAAAGGATCAACTTGCTCTTGACCTCAAATATATCTCCTGCTTTCTAATGCTGTTTCTCTTTGCCCTCAAATGCAATGAAGTGGCTATTTTTCTCTACCTCTCCAGATGTACTACATCCTTAAACCTCAGAAAATCTCATTTCCTCTGAGAACACTTCCCAGAGATACCAACCCACAGTGGTATCCCCTTGATTTACAGGCCAAAATGTTACCCCCTGATTTACTTAACATTTTACTTACTGATTTATACACTATGATTTACTATCTAATATGCTTTTGTTTTATGTCAATGTATGAAAAGCTACATAATGGCCTGTCTTAGGGATTTGAATATGCCACAGATTATCCAATAGTATTTATGAATAACCTCCTCCATACAGTTGAATACTCAGTTTTGATTAAAAATAACATATATCAACATTAAAGTTAAAATGTCCAAAAGGTTTCCATATACTTGGCTACTCTTTAAAATAAAGCAAATTCTGGAAATCAAACTCAAATATTGTAACATTTTGTGTCTATATTTTTTTAAAATGAGACCAAAGGAGTCTTAGAAAGTGTGTAAGGTAGTGTCAAACAAAATTACCCACACCCAGTTGCTTTGAAACTAATAACTGTCTCATGCATGAGCCCAGTGTGAGCAGAAAATCATGTCTGTGTGCATAGTTGTATCCTGAGCACAAACTAAAAATCATCTGACACTGCTTCATAAATTTTTGATTGTTGCTTAAACAGTATATAGATTACCAAACAACCACCTCTCATCCCAGATTTTTGCCTAATCTATGAAAATAACTGAGAACTAGACAATCAATCATGGGTAAACTTAAAATTTAAAAAAGAGAGAAAGAAAGAAAAAGTATAAAAGAAAGTAGTGTACTTGACAAGATGTAGGAATAAAAGTAGAGAAATCAAAGTAGGGAAACCTTAAGGAGATCAGCAGGGGGCAGAAGGGGTCAGCAAAGAGAAGGATCAGTAGATGTAGATCAATTTACTTTTGGATCTTCAGGAAAGATGTTATCCACTAGGCGTTTGTAGCGAGGACGCAAAGCAGAACAGCAGCAACACACTCCTGTTAAAAAAAAAAAAGTTATAGAAATTAATATTGTAAACTGACTCAGAAATTCATTTCTGAATATTAGTGATCTAGGATTTAAAATACAAAGAAAAAGTTCAAACTGTCACAAATAGAAAAGTCATGCAAATTCAATTAAGTTGCTATGTAAGAAAATTAAATTTCTTTTCCCTTTCCCAAAGACATGTGGCTGTTAAGAATTTGCACTAAGACTCTACCCCAAATCAAAATCATCCTATTAGGCAAATGTATGATCTGTATCTGCCCTCCCCCCATATCTCCTTTCTAAGCTCCTCTCCCATTACTCTCTGAACACATCCCCACCTGTGTGTACCAATCCTCTCTACTCCATTCACAATGGTAGCTCTCCTGATCCTAGGTACCCTCCTTGGATCTCTGATGTTACTGTTTCCTCTGCCTAGAACATGTCAAAAGATCTTATCAGACTGTCACTTTCTTTGATTATTCATTTAAATCTCTGACCACCCTTACCTTGCTTTGGTTTTCCATTGCACTTAACACCCTACATATTAAATAATTTTCCTACTGTGTTTATTGGTTAGGAACTGCTTTCCCTCACCAGGAAATAAGCTCAGGTGAAGGCAAGGATAATTGTTTTGCTCACACATGAATCCCCAAAATTCAGAATAACACAGGGCACACAGTAGGCACCCAAATATTTGTGGAGTGAGTGCATGCACACATGAATGAATTTGTACTGTCCCTACTTCAACAATGCCTTCCTTACTGCTCTTTTCTACTTTTACAATGTAGCTCTGATTTAGCTTACCTGCAGTTTCTTATGTAACTTCCTAACATGTCCTCCAGCCTCCTCCTAGAGTAGCTACCACATAGAGAGGGTATTTACAGCCCAACTCTAGCAATATGATTATAGTGAACCTCCAACAACTCACTGATACAGACGATGTAGAAATGTCCTAACATAACATCCTTCAAAACTTATAATCTCTTGTTACTAATCACTCTTTATACTTCATAAAATTAATATATTCCAAAATAGCTTAATTTTTAAATGAACATATTTTATTCTGTAAAAACATATAAGAATATGTATTCTTATGACTAAAATTTTAAAAAGACTAAAGGATTTGAAACAGATATGACAAAAGACATATGTTTAATTTATAAACTTTTATAGAAATATGACCAACAAATAAATAGAAAAAGACATGACCCAGAAAACCTGGGTCCAGTCCAATTCTTTCTCTTAAATTGCTACATGGCTTGGGGAAGGCATAACAAGATCGATAAGTGGGCCTATAATCTCAACAACTTAGGAGGCTAAAGTAGGATGATTTCAAGTGCAAGACCAGCCTCAGCAACTAAGCAATGTCCTAAGCAACTTGGCAAGATGTCTCAAAATAAAAAGTAAAAAGACCTGGAGATGTGGCCTAGTGGTTAAGCATCCCTGGGTTCTCACGATTTATGAAATAGTATGTGTAAGTAAGCATACTTAGGCTCTATATGCTGATATTTATAAAATGCTTTTTATTGTTCAGGATATTTTTCACTAGAAGACAAAATATTCGAAAGAATTCAAATATTTCAAAGAGTTATTTTTTCAGATTATTAACATCAGAATACGTGAATCCTTTTTAGTTTCAAAAGCAAAACAAACGTTTGGTTATGGCGGGGAGGGGGGATAACAGCCAAAGTAGCAAAATCACCTTTCTGCATCTACTACACCTAATAAAAACTACATCAGATAATTATTAATACTGGCATTAAAATTAATTAAAATCCATTGTGTACTGAACAGCTCTCATAGTTCTAAGGTATCACAATAATATGGTAAGATTCAAGTAAATACTTTGCTAACAGTAATGCAAGGTCAAATGTAGTAAATTCAAATTGTTCTCATGACAAAGAATTTGGGCTATGGGGCTTAAAAACAAGTCCTAAAACTGCAAATTTTCATAAGAATGGCAAATTGTTATTTTCAGTGAGAAGATTCTTAAAAAGCTATTAAGATTCACTTACACTGACACATTCTGCTATCATACACTACATTTAGCTTAAAGGAGCTTAAAAAATAAAAGTGAACTTGATATACAAACAATATCCTCAGTTACCACTTCCAAGAAGCTTAGGTCTACTAAGGAAGACAGATGAGCAAAAGGCACAATGTCAACAGGCAGTCTCAAGCTAAAGAACAACCACCTTAGATTCATATCTGAAGTGAGTCTAAGGCCTCTCACTGTCCAGCTCAGCAGGCAGCTTCCATTCTCTTACTACTCCTAAGTTTCCTCACCAATGTAATAATGCCTTCTCCAGAATAATTGCAAAAAAAAAATTATAAAATTGTACTTAAGGCTCTCATTAAGCATTCAACAAAATGGCAGGCATTACCAGTAGTAAAGTAAAAGTAGTATTACAACCAGGGTAAACAAAAGGAGATGGAGGGGGGCCTTTAGATTGTATTCCCAACAAGGTGAAAACCTTTGCTGAAAATTAATGATTTAAAACTTACAACAAATTTCATATATAGTTCATGAAACACCTTTAAGCATCATTACCAGTAGGAGTAACTGCTATATTCTGATCACCACTTGTTCAGCACTATACCAAGGACTTTACAACATCACTCATTTACTCCTAGAATACCTCTCTAAGGTGGTTTGTTTCAATGCCATTTAATGATTGAGGAAACAGGCCGATTTGCTCAATAAAACACAAATGTTAAGGATACAAGGAACTGCAATTCCATCCCAGATTTGATGACTGCAGGGGACAATTGCCACACTAAATTGAAGTACCACAAAAAGGTTTTTTGTTTTTTTTTTTTAAACATATCATGACCAATAAATCTGATTGCAAGAATGTGTGGACCTAACACAGATGAGAACTGCACTTTCCATATAAGAAAATGAGCTTCTCAAGAAAGCCCAAAACCAAACAAAAACACCTCTTGTCCACTAACTATAAATACAAAGCTACCCACCATAAAGAGGACATGGGAAATTAGGTTAAAGTACTTAAAGGCTGGGGTTGTGGCTAAGTGGTAGAGTACTTGTCTAGAATGTATGAGGCCCTGGGTTCGATCCTTAGCACCACATAAAAATAAATAAATAAAGATATTATATTCAACTACAACTAAAAAATAAATATAACAAAAGTACTCAATTTACTCAGGTCTTTATAAATTATATCAAAGATAATAAGGTTAAAATGACTATAGCTGAAATAATCATAAAAAGAATTACTTTATAAACAAGAGAATATTGTACTTATAAACATTATAAGAATATGTGAAATAAAATTATTGGACCTACTCAGGTATAAAAATGGCGCTGACTCTCCTGGTGAAGTGAATTCATATGGTTTTTCAAGTTCAGCAGCAGGTACCTGAACATAGTCCTTCATGCTGTGTGAGACTATTTTCTAGTTGATCTCCTGCTTCTATATCCTTTTACCTACTGTTCAGGAAGTGTCTAGTTCACTTTACTTCTAATTAATTAGCAGAGGACACTAAAGTACTGTAGCTTCTTATCTAACTTGTTGACATCAAATATGAAGCTATCATGAACTTAATGATATCTGTATCAAATTCTGCTAGCAAGGCCAATTAGCTTAAGTAAGACACTATTAAAGTACTAATATTGCTAGTTTAATAAAAGTAAGTTTTCGTATCATTTAAAGGTCAGCCTACTAATGCTTTTTTTCTTTAGAGCAGTCCTTATTCCTTCTCATCCTAAGACCTTTTCCAACAAATTCACTTTGCATCCTAATACTGTCCTATTTTTCAATATCTTCCCAATTTTTCTCTTCCAGAGGAAAAAAGAAAATAAGAAAGCCTCAAGCAGTTAACAAGTCTAAGCAATGTAAATTTTCCTTTAAATTTAATTTTAGCATATAAAAAGAGAAAGCAATTATTCTTTTCCCACAGCATGTGGAATATGAACCCCTGGCTAAGATATATCAGGAGAAGAGGCAGGAAGGCTTACACAGGATGACTACAGTGAGTAAACAGAACTTGGGCACAGATGGAAAGGGAAATTATGACCCAAAAAAGTGGCAGACTGCATATTCTAGTAGTATAATAGGTTCAGGAGCAATCTGACTTAATAAGAGGAAAATCCCATTGCTTAAATGCTACCATGCTACTGGGTACCTAGGATAAAGCTATGCTCCAAAACAAAAATGCTGTTAGCAGCACTATCACTGGAGTTGAAGCATGCTCAGATTCTATTTTGGAAACTGACTATATAACTTTAGTTAGGTTTGTTTCATCTCTAAAAGAAGAAAACAAACAGCATCCACACCTTCTATGTAGCAATTATGTTATCTTGTTTAATTTTTACATGTAATACAGTGGAAATTCAGTGACATAGAAGTCATCAAATTTCATACTTTTAAATGGGAATGGATTACTGGATTTTGGTTCTTTATGTCTTCACCATATATTTCCATTATTGAACCTATAGCCATTTATATTCATATGCTTGTTTGTATCACCATAGTAAGTCCCTCAGATGCAAAGCCCACATACTTTAAATGCTGTTGTGCATGTCTGGTATCTACCAGAGATTTACAAAACTGTTCCTTTCCTTAAACAAACACACAAAGTTCACGGATACATAAAATGAATTTAATGTTTATAGCTATGTGCTACAAAAATCAAATAACTATAAAGCTCATCACTGATCATGAAGCACTCAATAAATGCCAGAACAATATAATTTCTTGAGCAAATAGATGACAATGTCAACTGAATCATGTTTAACAATTCATGTTTTATTTTTAGACCTAGTAGAGGCCTCCTGCAATCAAAGTGAAAAGAGACAGACCTTTGTACAGGAAGACTTTTAAAATTCAGAACTTCAAGAATTGTAGTTCTATGGTGTCCAAAAACTTTCAAAGTGTATGCCTCTCATATTCCCTTCAAGGTTAAAATTGAAAGTCAAGTCACTCGTTCACTTAGTGTCAGAACAAGACATTCACTTCAGACAATCAAAAACACTTAGCAATAAAACAGC